ATTATACAAAAAAGTGGGAGCTTCATTGGAAAGATTTTGACAGGCTTCTTTAGGTTCAGGTTCCTTGATGGGTATTAAGGATTATGTTGTTACTTTAAGGGCAGCAAGAAATTAGCTGCAATTTATGGAGGGCTTTAAGCATACATTTACTGTCAGAAAAAGGAGCCTGAATTTAAAGTGAGTATTTCCTTATCTGAAACCTTTCGAGCATACCAGCCCCCAACCTACAGATCTGCCATGAACGATGACTTACAGTTTTGGAACTGAGAGGTCCTTTAAATATTATAACACACTTCCTGTTAAACCCTACTTTCCTCTCTCCACCGGCATGTCACTTCTACCAAACTCATTTTTTCGATGAGGAATGTGAAGGCCCAAAATGTAGTCAAATCTTTTTTATCTTTAAAACAATCTACCCAAACCCTGAGTCTTCCCACGCTTCTGTCCAATTCTCATATGTGGAATAGGATGTTTTTAGTAACACTTCTTCTCCCCCAGTTTCCGCTAGAACTATGCATTTCTGCTTCTGACCATTCCTTCTCCCGCCTCATCACTTTCCCCTTTCTTCCTTTCTTTGGGGGAGTGGGGGTGGAGGTATTGTACTGTGTGTTTAGCACCCCAAGTCAAGTCTCCTTCCAGCACCATTTATCCTCCCTATACTCTTTTCAACCTCCCTTACCCCACTTTCCCTCTGGTACTCATCATACTGTTGTCTTTGCCTGTGAGTTGTTTTTTCATTGCTTAATCCCTTCACCTTTTTCACCCACCCCAGAACCTTCCTCCCAATGAGGACATATCTCACTGTCCTTTTAATTTTCATTTCTCTGATGATTGGTGACATTGAGCTCTTTTCATATGTCTCTTGGCCATCTGTATGTCCTCTTTGAAGAAGTGTCTACTTAGGTCTTTTGCTCATATTTTAATTGGGTTTAATTGGGTTTTTTGGTATTGAGTTTTAGAAGTTCTTTGGATATTAACCCTTTATCAGATTTATCATTGGCAAATATGTTCTCCCATTCACTGGCTTGTCTTTTAATTTTGTTCATGGTTTCCTTTGCTGCGCAAAAATTTTTTAGTTTGATGTAGTCCCACTTGTTTACTTTTTCTTTTGTTTCTCTTGCTCAAGATGATATTTCAGAAAAAAATAATGCTACCAGTAATGTCTGAGATTTTGCTGCCTATGTTTTTTTTCTTCTAGGATTTTTATGGTCTAACATTTAAGTCTTTAATCCATTTTGAGTGTATTCTTGTGTATGCTGTAAGAAGGTCGTCTAGTTTCACTTTTTTGCATGTATCTGTCAGATTTTCTCAACACCATTTATTGAATAGACTATCTTTACCCCATTGTATGTTTTTGCCTCCTTTGTCAAATATTAATTGACCATAAAGTTGTGGGTTTATTTCAAGCATCCCTATTGTATTCCATTGATCTATATGTCTGTTTTTATGCCACTACCATGCTGTTTTGATTACAATGGCTATATAGTATAGTTTGGTATCAGATAGCATGATTCCTCCAACTTTATTCTTCTTTCTCAAGATTGCCATGGCTAGTTAGCTTTTTTGTGGTTCTATATAAATTTTTGTAATATTATTCTAGTTCTGTGAAATATGCCATTGATGTCTTGATAGGAATTACGTTGAATTTGTAGATTGCTTTGGGTAGTTTGCACATCTTAATGATGTGAATTCTTCCACTTATTTGTATCTTCTTTAATTTCTTTCTTCAGTGTCTTATAATTTTGCAAGTACAAGCCTTTTACCTCCTTGGCTAAATTTATTCCTAGGTATTGGTTTTAAGCAGTTGTGAATGGAATTGTTTTCTTAGTTTTCCTTTCTGATAGTTCATTATTAGTGTAAAAAATGCAACTGATTTCTGGATATTAATTTTGTACCCTGCTACTTTACTGAATTCATTTATCAGTTCTAGTATTTTTTTTTGGGGGGGGGGTGGAATCTTTAGGATTCTCTATATACAGTATCATGTCATCTGCAAATTTGACAGTTTTACTTCTTCCTTTCCAATTTGGATGCCTTATATTTCCTCTTCTTGTCTGATTGCTGTGGCTAGTACTTCCAGTACTGTCTTGTTCCTGATCTTAAGGGAAATGCTTGTAGTTTTTGCTTATTGAGTATGATACAGCTGTGGGTTTGTCATATATAACCTTCATTACATTGAGGTATGGTCCTTCTTCCCCTTTCTTCCTAGCCTTGACTATTCCGGTTACCTTAAAGCCACTTTCTAGACCATTTTTTAGGTTTACAATTTCACTTTCATCCTAATCATCTCTGTTGAACAGGCGGATTTTGGTCTTAGTCACAAAGTTCATAAAAACATTATTTTCAACCTTATACATTTGTAGGAGTTGGTTCATTTTAAAAATTGCACAGCATTCTTTTTGTTATCTTGTTCTGAAAAGGGTTTGTTTTAAGCCAGTTTAGTTAACCTTGCATTTCTGTCAGTGGATCCAGTTGTTAGAGAAGGTTCTATCAATGGTAGTGAGGTAGCCATAGAAGCTACTTCCCAGGGAAATATCAGAAGGTCATGTGAGACACAGCTCATCTTCATCATTATCTATATAACAGACTGGTCTGATCACTTCTAGGGGATTATCTCAGTCATTAGCATAATACATGGATGGGTGCTTGTTGTCCTATTGTCTTAGGATATATGTAGCCTTTTTTTCTTCAGATACCCTGCCTTTTTCCTCTTAGACTGGGATTTCTTGCTAGATAACAGAGGCATTGGTAGGCAAAGCCGGATGACCATCCGCACTCTTGTTAAATGCAGTTCTTTAACCACACGAGGTTAAAGGAGAAAACAGTTGGAAAGTATATGGGGAGGTGGCTCATTAAAAAAAAAAAATGTAAGGTTTATTATACATGTTCTTAGCCCATAAGGTTCCTGACTGTCACTAAGGCAAAGTTACATCTTCCAGAGTTCCCTTCCTTAACATCATTGTTGTTTTAAGGTTATTTGAAATAGCTGATTATCTTAAAGGTTGTATTTTATATTCATTTCATTGAAACTTTATCCTTACAAAAATATTGAGGAGAACGTGTATTAGTTTTTGTTGGTATTTTAGGGGGCAGGGATAGATTGTAGCAGCTTTTGATCAAGGCCTTAGCTTTCTTATGCTCATTTTTGCTCAGTATTCTCTGAGGAATTTTAAGAGCCTCACCAGTGAGATGAAATATCCATGGCTGAGAGGACAGAAAGGGTGACTGAGAGTTGTTTGCCACCATAAATGACTGCACATGGCAGTTTTCCTGAATCCCTTTGGCAAATAATAGTTAAATACTCACCTACAAATAGTTCTCTGATGGTTGATCGAAAGCCCTGCCCTCTACTGTATAAACATAGCAAGTCTTCTAACTCTGTGTATACGTATATTATCATCATTATGTCCAGATAAAATAGGACAGCCCCAAAACGATGACTACATTCACTCTAACAAGAGGAAAGAACCAGCATACAGTTTCAGTGTCTCTACTATCCCATATTATTGTTAGACTAATTTCCTGAAAACTTAATGTTACATGGAGTGTAATTGCAAATTTCCTTAAGAACCATCGAGAGACACTTATCCTAAGTTATAAGCAACTCACACTGTGAAATGTATGCAAACATTCTAAGTTTTTTTTACAGAAAAATATACTTCAGTGAAACCCAGTATTCATCAGGTTTTTTTTTTTTTTTAATAAAGCTCAAAGTAGAAGTTGCAGGACTTACTTTTGTTGCCATCTGATTTTTAAAAGAAATTAGTGTTACAGGAACTATTACTAGTTTTCAGAAACTGAACTAAGTCTTTGATAAGTGTCACGCTAGAAACCTTACAATCTTTGACTTAGGGGGCTACCTTTTGAATGAGATAGTAAAAAAATAGTAAATTACGGTGCATTTAGGTATTGGCATTGTACATAGAAGAGGGTGTGTTTTTAAATTGTATTGGTGGTCTATTTAGTGCAGCTGTGTTTATGTTTCCTAAATGGGAATTGCCTGAATGTGTTGGCAAGTCCCTACCTATGAAACTGGGGATTGCTTTTTTAAATCTTCATGCCAGCGTGCTTTAATATGGAGGGTCATATTTACCAAGTAACAAAGGCAAATGTAATTCCGGGCACAGTCATTCAATACAGTCATCCAATATTTGCTACATCAGACATTTTGACAACCTTGTAAAAATCAGTAATTGATACTTTAAATGTTACATTTCACAGTGGAATAACCTTAGAAATGGTAGAATATTTTAGCAGTCACATTTCTTTATCCCATATTTTGTCTGATTTAACTTCTTGGTTATTGCAAATGCATGCTTAGATAATAAATATAGATACATATAGGTTGATCCTGTAGAGAATTAACAGTCCCCTATTTTTGCTGTATTTCTCTTAAAAAATATGAATATGGGGTCATGGCTGCAACATAGAGATGGTTGCCTGTGACAGAGAAAATGTATATGACAAATAAATAGCTATGTGAATTAATTAGTAATTTCAGAATAGTATGTGAAATGTTTAGATGCAAGCTCTTAATGACTAGTTTTTGGAAGCATTTTCTTTAGTGTTACATTCCCCATAACTCAAATTAATGTTTATTACTACTCTTTCATATTGCCAAAATATTTTCATGAATTTGGATTAGAAGCAGCTTGTTCTGGCTTGTTTTGCAGCCTTGTTTCAAGAAACAAAGTGATATTTAGAAGATTTTTGTAAGTCTTAGAAGCCTTAATTATCTTATGCTGAAGGAGGAAATAAAATCAAGTTTTGTTTCATAGTTAAGAATATAAGATTTCATATTGGGCTCATTTTTATTACCAAATAGTTAATAAAGTCTTTCAGGAAATTTGAATGGGTGATTCTTTTATTAGCTGTTAAGTAACTAGTAATTTAGAACCTATTTCAAATTCAAGAGGATGCTACTTACTGGGCTGGCATTTGTTTTGAATTCTTAGGTGTTTGCCCATATCATTCCTTTTTTTCTCCCCGTCTCTTCCCAGATTGGTGAAAGACAACAAGTGTTAGTAACAGAAGAATCCTTTGATTCCAAGTTTTATGTTGCACACAATCGATTCTATGAGCAGGTAAGAGAGATTTCTGTGTCCTTAAATTTTCTCCAAAATGAAAAAGAGTTCTGAAAGTAAGTCTGCTTAAGCAAAAGGAACTTAAAAAGGGGGAGGGTTGTGGAATCTTGTGCAGCAAGGCATTTTATAGCATCCAGCCAGCCGACTGGCATGGGCCTTATCTTCGTGGCTTAGTCTGCAGAACATTCTTTATAAAGGAATACATGTGTTTCAGTCCTCACTAGTCTTTGAGGGGGCCAGCCTTAGGCTTTTGGGAGTTTGGAACAGGCAGCTGTCGCTGCCAGCATCCCCACAGCCTGGCAGAGTCCTGTCCAGAGGCAGGAAGGATGTCTGCACGAGCGACATCATCGGGGAAGGGCAGGGATTTCCTCTCACTGTCAAGGCACTCATGCAGGTTTCTTGGTTGGTTGGTTTTTTAGTTCTGTTTAGTTTTAGAATTTGTTTTTATAACTCCCACCTTGATAAGAATGCTGGGAGCAAAGGAACAAGAGTCTGTTCCTTGGATTCAACTCTGATGGTGTGAGGAGAGCAGTGTAAGGGTCAAAACGACTTTACTTTGAGAATTTTCTCCAAACCCAACCCCAAGGGCTCTTTCCCAGCCCACCTAAGCGAGCCTCCCTTGCCTCCCCAGTGGCCAGATTCAGCATTTGGGACTCCACTTGTCCAGGAGGTAAAGCCATTGGAAAGTGACTGGAGGAAACCGCATGCCTCCTCGAGGGGCATCCGGATATGGGGATGGGATATGCCCTCTCAGGAGGGAGACTTGCATGGGGACAGGGATTTCATGGGTCATCCTGGATTGTATTAACTTTCAAGATCAAAGAGAAGTGGGTTTTTTTTTCCTATGGGTCATGGCCAGAATTAGAGCTTGGTAAGGTTCTTAAGACCACTGTGGGCAAGTCATGCAGGGGACAGTCAAAGACAGCCCACTGGGCCTGTGAGCAGGGAGGCAGTAGCTAAGAGGCCTCAGGCACTGGTATGTGCCACCAGGAGCCATCTCAGGCAGGCCTGGGTCCTCAGGAAAGGTGGGGAGCTTTTCCAGACCCAGACTAAACAAGTCCTGTCCGGTACCTGTGGAGGAAGGATTTCCACCACTCGTGTTTGAGCTGAGTCTCTCCCCACTTTCCATCTCATTAATTGACTCCAGAGGGCGGCTTTCCTACCCAGGCCTGCTCTCTGCTCAGCCTGGGGAGGAGCTTGATTGTGTTTTCATTGCCTCTTCCCTCTCCTTTCTCTTGCCATCTGGGTTTCTGCCTCAGCGGGGAACTTTTTCCCCCTTCATTTTAAAGGCAATGGCATGCCTCATTAGCTGTTTCCTCCAATTTAAAGCAGCCGGGCTTTTTCCAATTATTAAAACCGGAGGGGGAAAAACACTGAGCCCTTCATTCAGATCAAGGCAGCAGATCAAGGGGAGTTATTTTCCCCCAGAATCACACCAGATCTCCCCAGGATAGTTTACTCTGGAGATTTTCTCGTCTTATAAAAGTTGATTTAAAAGGGCTTTCATATTCTGATACTAAAGCCCTCTTAGTCCGTCTGCTTACCGTGAGTAACTCGCCACCCAGGCGACCTTGCTACATTTTGATGAAGCGGTGGACTCAGTGGTCATGAAAATCAGACTCAGAAGGACCGAGATCCACCGCGGCCTCTCAGAAACCGGCTGTGCAGCCTCTGCCTCCTCTGACCTTTTTGTCTCTACAACTAAGTTCCAGAGATTTCACAGGAATTATTTTCCTACTGAGATGAGTTCCAGAAGGAAAGATTGCATCAAGATATCAAAGTCTTGCTGGGTTAGAATTAGTCTCTTTATTCTGGATCCCAACTTTAAAAGATTGGCCAGTAGCTAGTCCTAAAATAGAGAGAGACATAATGCATACAGACTACCTCTAAGTCCCAAAGCAGGGGAGAGATTTGCTCAAGGTAAACAAGTGCTTTTACCCGAAATCTAGTGGAAAGAGACCATAGGACAGTTTCCTGTGAACCAGCCAGAGTACTCTTCCAAAATAGCTGGTTCTATGTGGAGTTAGAGCTCGCAAATACATGCGTTTTATTACAGAGCAATAGAACTGAATGGCAACCAGTTAAAGGAGCTATTTACCTCCATGTTACCCATGTTTGGAATATTGAAAAGGTTGCTTTTAAGTGTTCTTTCTCGTCCCCCAAAACACACGCTCGTGCACGCACGCACACATATACATGCACACAAACATGCAGGCCTTTATTTGAAGTGTCTACTCAAACCAGAACTTTGATAGCTAACTTGGAAGGTATTAAAAGTAGGAGGCTTTCATCAGTGTTGTCTTGGTTTCCCTCATTGCATGGGACAGCCAAGAGCAGAATATCAAAGGCCTGTCCAAAAGTGACTGGCTGCCTGCTGGGATTTCCCAGGTCTGCCTCCCACATGCCTGAGGACAGCAGGCGTCCTGCAATGCAGGAGGCTGTCTGCAGCAGCTCCTCCCAGAGTGCCAGCCCTTCCCCCCAGGTCCCCACCCAGGTCCTGGAGCAGCTGGAAGATAGAGCCCACTTGGGGTGGATCTCAGAATAGAAAAGGACAGTAGTTGACAGCTGAGGAATTCTGAATAAAGTGGTACTTTACTTAATAGTCAGACACCAATAATGGCTCATTCATTGCGACAAGTCCGGCAGACTGGTGTACAGTGTTTTCCTGGGGAAACTGAGTATGGGCTATACAGGAACTCTGTGCTCCCTTTGCAGCAATTCTATAAATTTAAAACTGTTCTAAAATTAAAAGTTTATTTTAAAATTGAGCCTTCTGAACATTTTTTTAAGGTTTTAGTGCCAAAGTACCCCACATTCATGGGGAAAATGGTCGAAGTGGACATTTATGAATCCGGAAAGCATTTTATGAAAGGGCAGCCAGTAGCAGACGCCAAAGTCTACACACCATCCATCAGCAAACCATTAGCCAAAGGAGAAGTCTCAGGCTTGACCGTGGTGAGTAAAAGGTGCTCCCCTCCACCCTGCCAGTAAGAAGCAGCTGGGGAGGCGCAGGGTGCAGACTGTGGCTCCGTGGCTCTGTAATTCACAGCCCCCTCTCTGTGCCTGCAGGAGGCTGCAGTCCTTTCCCACAGATTGAAATCTGAAATGGAAAGATGCAGTTCTGCTGATGCCTTTAGCTTTTTTTTTTTTTCTTCTCTGCCTGTTAAGGGAATAAGCTGTTTCTGCTTCTGGTTTAGATGCAGAAGGCAAATGCCATTATTTTCAAGTGAAAGATGTAACACCAAAGATGGTCAGATCCGGTGTGTGTCTGTGTCAGTAAATCCTGAGTGGAACCGGCTGAGGGACGACATCGTTTCTTGCTTTATGAAGCTCTTTATAATATAGTAAAACCTTTAGTTAAACAGGCACTAAACCATGTCAGTATATGTGCTTATAGTGCCTTTCTCTTGGGCAGCGATTTTCAACCTTTTTCATCTCATGGCACACATAAACTAATTACTGAAATCCTGTGGGACACAAAAAACATATTTTATGTCAACCTCGCAAAAAATAGCTATAATTTTTAAAATATATTTGTATTGATTTTAGAAAGGAAGGTAGAGGGAGAGAGAGAAAGAAACATCAATGATGAGAGAGAGAATCATTGATTGGCTGCCTGGAACCCGGGCATGTGCCCCGACCAGGAATCGAACTATGACCTCCTGGTTTGTAGATCATTGCTCAACCACCGAGACATGCTGGCCAGGCAGGCTGTTGTCAATTTTTTATTTGACAGTCTAAGGGAAAAGAGGTCAGTGCCCTGACTAAATAGTCAGGTATTGCACGTTTTAAAAATTCTTACGGTGCCTGAGATGGCACACGGGTTGGAAGTCACTGCTCTCGGGTGTTAGCTGAATATCTGCTGTAGTCATATGGACTGAAAACGAAATTTTTTTTTTTTATTTCTATAAAACAGTAACCTGACCACTATTTTATACCTTAGTAAATATGGCTGTTTGCCAAGCTCTCTCTCACATTTCATTGAGCTACAGTTGTAAAAGCTGATGGAGTGTGAAATGAAAATGTGTATCACATTTCTAAGCATCATTTGATGTCCTTTCTCTAGCACAATTGTTAAACACTCCAAGAAAAGTATATAGCAATGACTTCATGTACGGGAAAAAGATAAGTGGTATTTATCTGGCCATATAATTCCAAAATTGTTTTAATATATGTATTATCTTTTCCCTCAAAAATATACTGCAAGGTATGTTAATTAGACTTTGAGAGTAGGGACAAAGAGGGTGCCGTTATCTATACTCTCACTTAGAATGTGACACACTCTGGTGTCCCAATCTGAGTGACCCCTCATGAGCTTGACAAGTACATGTGAGAACTGTGTGCATCGCATGCGACTGATAACGGAATGACGCAGACTCGCCTTTGTCCGGACCCTGCCAAGTGTGTCATCCTGCTCGGCCAGGAGTGAACTGGAAAACTCGATAAGCATAACCACTAATGTTTGGTGTTATTTTAAAAAGAAATCATACTTGGAGTTGGGGTGGATGGCCAAGAGGGAACAGTGAAACCCAGCATTTAAATGATATTGCTAGAAATGTGGCTTTCACATCAGAAATGCTTAAAGAAAATTGGCTTATCTTTTGTTGTTCTACACAGTGTGTTTTACAAGCTTGATTTTAAATTGCTACAATAAAAAAAAAGATCGCAACAAATGGTAATAGACAGCAAATTACTATTCCAAGGGCCCTGCCCGATTTAACTCTTTCATGTATGCCTATTAAAAAGGATGGAGTTTTAAAACATCATCATTAATAATACAGAAATCAGGAAAAGCAGTACCATTTTATTCGTTTTTTTTACTATTGTGTTCCTCTCTAGAAGAGTAGCCCTACTTAAATTCCATGGGGCAGCCTTTCCTATTCTACTGTTTGCCCTCCGGCCTGTGCAATGGCGCTGTCAGCACTGCTGCCGCTGGCCCTCCTCTGAGCTGAGATGGTCCAGAAGAGGCCTGGGACTGGCCTTACAGTGTGCGTGAGGCCCCAGGGTTAGGAATATTGAATTGGGTGCTAACATTAAGGGAAACACCAGGCAAGTCCGTTATCACCATGTGTGACTTCATATAAATTAAGGAACATAGCTTTATGCTTCATTGTCAACTTTAAAGACTTTAAAAATATGCCAAACTCAGGGTCGAAAAGCCTTCTTCAGTGAATTTGTCCTGATGTTAAAATGTTTTGGCTGATGATAGGAATTAAAGTAAATTAAGCAAGAAGAGAACAGATTCTGTTTTTGTGGGCTTGAGAAGTAGATGGTAGAGGTTATAATCATGTCTCAGACATTTTGGTGCTCTTTGAACTTGATAAAGGTGCTGGCACTCTTGGATGAAAAGAACCAGCTTAACCGTGTGGATGGAGCATGGCCTTTGGCTCAGCTGGACCTGAGTTTGCATCTAGACTTGCCAGTGGACCCGAGGCATGTGGCTCCTGAGCGTTAGTTTAGTCTGTTAAGTGGGAATGATGATGTCTCTCTCATGGGGTTGTTGAAAGGAATACATTCAGTCGTGTGTATAAGCCACCGAATCCTATTCCTAGAACATGGTCAGGAGTTACTAAGTGGTCATTGTCCCTTTCCCTCACACCTAGTCCCATCTGGAAAGAACAGACTCTGCAGATGACCTGGTTCTGACATATTTGGTTTTGTTCATTATTTTACCCTGAACACGGTATGCAGAGGCAGGAGAGGGAGTGAATTTCTCTGTGAGGATCATCTACTCAGCGCTAGAAAACCAATCCCAGCTGAATTTCTGTCTTTCTGAATTTTCTAGGCTTTCCTGAGTTTTCTGGTATGGTAACCTTCCCTACGCATGTCGTAAAGAATTCTGGAGAGGCCAAAGCACCTAAAGCAAAATATTGTGTTACAAATTATTTTCCTTAGTAAATGCATTTTCTTAATTGGGAATGTTATGATTAATCTTTAAGTATTTAGTCCCTGCTACGTTGGGCTTCTTTAGTCTGACTTTAGGCACTGTGACGTTTTTGATCAGATGGTGAGAATAGCAGATGGGGGAGAAGCCCAGCCCGGGCGGGTCACGAGCTGCGGACTATAGAATCCTCGCATTTGCTGTAACGGGTTTTTGTGACCTTTCGCGCATCTCACAGGTTCCCTGAACCTCAGTTGTCTCTGAGATTCTGTGATTGAAATATTGCATTTGATAAAAATGGATTGAATGCCTACCCTGTGGCAGGACTATAGAGTCTATAAATATTAATAGAAAACAGACCTTGTATTTTCAAATAATAATAGATGCCCAGAACATGATGGAAAAAGAAAGCCATAATAAAGTCAAAAGGTTGCTGCCCTCTAAGAAATGATATTCTAGTGGAAACAATACATAGTGACATCTTTTTATGATTATTACTGTTCTTTTCAGTTTGGGTAGAGGAATGGAGGAATAGAAGAAGGAGGGAATAGGAAAAATAAATGAAATTAGTCTGAATAACAGTAGGGAAGATGGGAGCGAAAATACCACCTCCAACCTGAGAGGGAACATTTCTGAATAAGTATCTTTTAAGGATAATTCATTTTAGAAAAAGGTTCTATAAAAGTTATCCAGTGGACGGCTCATAGAGTTCAAAGGGATACACATCAATCAGAGAGCCCTGGTGGGTGTGGCTCAGTTGGTTGGTTGTTGTGCTGTGCACCGAAAGGTTGCCAGTTTGATTCCAGGTCAGGGCACATGCCCAGGTTGCTGGTTCAATCCCAGGTAGGGGTATGCAGGAGGCAGATGATCAGGGTTTCTCTCTCTTTCTCCCTTTCTCTTTCTCTAAAAATCAATAAAATATTTAAAATAAAAATCCAAGAAAGGATAGGTCAAAAACTTTTGTCTGGAAACTGTCAGGAGACTTCAGAGGAAGAAGGGAATGGGAAGCAGTAATTCTTAAGAAGGTTATTATAAAAATGGTGGTGGAGATAGGCAAAAGCTGTATGTGGATGTGGGTGGGTGTTGGTGGGTGTCGGGGGAGTGGGGCAGGAATTGTTTAGTGAAAGGTGTCAGAGGACTAGGAGGAACCTTGAGAAAAACACAGTTTGAAGATGTTAAGAGCATTGATATCTTTACCATGCTTTCTCATAGAACCTAAATTTGTGATAACATAGCCTGTTCAACGTGATGATCTTTATATATAACCGAAGTTCCCTTAGAAAATTGTTATTCTATCCAGTCATTCATTTCATCTGAAGAAAACCTATGTGTAATCAGGGCCTAACATCAATTGTACCAAATCCATGACCATTATCAAAGATTGGGATCAGTGAATTTTTTTTATCTCTATTATGGAAATGTTCTATTCTTGAAATTTTCAAGCATATACAAAAGTAGAGAAAATAATACAAGGATCTCAGCCATCATCCACTTTTAATAATTGTTGACTCATAGCTGATCTTATGTCACCTGTGCTCTTATTCAGCCTATCCTCCTGGCTATTTTCCAGGAAATCTCATTTATCACTTTATTTCATCTAAATATATCAGAAAATATCTCTAAGAAATGAAGTTTCCCTTAATAAAAACATAGCCACAATGTATTATTACATCTAAAAATAATCAACATTAATTCTTTATCCAGCGATATTCAAGTTTTGCAGTTTTTTAAAACAGTTCATTTGAATCAGGATGCAAGTAAGTCCCATTCATTGCAATTACTTGGTGTGTCTTTGAAGTCATTTTTAATCTGTCTGCTCTCTCGTTCCCCCTTTTGCATTGCAGTTTATTTGTGGAGAAAACCAGGTTGTTTGTACTGTGGCATTTCTCAGTGTGGAATTTGCTAATTGCATCCTCCCATACAGTTTAAGGGGGTTCTGCATTGCCTGTTTGTTTTATAAATCAGTTGTTATATTTGAGGCTTAATCAGATTCAGATTGGAGCTTTTTACAAGATTATTCCATGTGATGCTGTGCATTTCCATTATGTGGCATATGACAATGTCTGGTTGTCTC